TTCCTTTGCACTTACAGTGCTTAAAAAAAAAATAATGGGATTTCTTTCTTTTTCACATTTTCTTGACTGAAATACATCTATCCCCTAAAATGCCTATACTATGGGAGACAACTGATATAACATGCCTGGGGTTTGCTTTAAACTACTGCAGAAAACAAAAGGAGAGGAGAGAGAAATATATTTTTTAAAACCTTGGCAAATGTGGATAACTGTTGAAGCAAGGTGATAAGTACACAGTGGTTCGAGTCATATTCTTCTCTCCACTTACACAGAAATTAGAAAATATCCATAATAAAAAGGCAGATAAACTGCCTGAACTAGCTCTCTCTCCAACCCTTCGAAAGCCAGCTCTACTTATGAGCCTACATGAATTTCTCCCATTTCTGGAGTTCTATCTGTACTGCTCATTTTTCGTAATTATGGCCTTCATTTTTTACTTCACGTCTTCATGTATGGATTTATTTCTGTAGTGAAAGAACAACAAAACAGTGCTTGCCATCAGGGAGTTTATAATCCTTTCTCTCTTAAATCCAACCTCTTTCATTCAACAAACTTCATTTACCAAATACCCACTATGAGCCAGACACTAACACCACATGGATACAAACACCAGGCCTCTAGCCTTAAAGAGCTCACAATGTAATAGAATTAGAATGCAGTTAGGTGGGTTCCCCCTGCAAAAAAATCCCAGTGATTTCTCAGCTGAAAACTTTTCACTAGCTTACCTCTGCATAAAGAATCAAACTCCTTTTCCTAGAAGTCAATGTCCTTTATAATCTAGTCCTGAGTGCCCTTTGGTCCAAATATGCCTCCTTTTCCACTTCCTGGATCCTCCAAGGTTCTCAATGTGCCTTTCCTCATGCCATTTCCTAAGCCTTTAAAACTGTATCAAATGCACTCTACGGATCTGAACCCTGACAATCCTTTCAAGGCCCAGTTCAATGTCTCCATGAAGATCACACTCCTAAAACCCATCAGCAGAGATTCACACTATTCCTTTAGCAGTTAACAAATGCAACGTCCTTATCTTCTCATAAGCCTCCACAATGTCCAACACAATGTCTTGCCTACAGAAAATGCACAGTGATTATCTTATTACCAATTTACCTAATTACCTTTGGGTATTTAAAAAGACTTAACCCATGCAGGAGGACAGCCTGTCCTCTTAGGGCCAGTCTCCCCAAACCCAACTCAGAGAAGTTCTTCTACTGGTCTGTAGTACTCAAATCACTGCCCAGTGGAATCTGGGTGTAAAAGCAGAACTGAAGGGCTAAAGTAACTTTACCAGAGATCCTATTCTGAATCCAACAACATTAAAAAAAAAAAAAAAAGAGGGAAAACAAAGCAAGCCAAAGACGACCGTAACCATCAAGTGCTGAAATCAATGTGGTGGCTCTATGGGCTTGTCTAATCACTTCTGATTTGGGGTCTACGGTTTTAAATAGCAATCCACTCTCCTGCTACAAAAATCAACTGCTGTGTTAAACTGGAGAAGTATTCCTAAATATCTCAAAGTTTTTCTCCTCTTTGTGAATGCCATGAGAAAACAAAGAACCCACCGTCCCCGCAGGTAACGAGCTGGTCGGTGATTAAGTATTTCCAAGAATCAAATACAAGAAAGCACTCACTGTTGCTGCATTTAGCCTACTATGGTTTAAGTTCCTACATACGAACCTATCTCTCCGACCGAACCATGAGCTCAAGAGCAAGGAGTTAAGGACTGGAAAGGCTGTCTTACTCAGCTCTGGATATCCTAAAGTCTAACAGCCTGGTACACTGAGGGACTCAGGAAGTGCTCGCTGAGAGAATTAGAGAATGAATTCCACTGTTGGCTAAAACCTGTTCGAAATGCCAACAGCCTGTTAAAAAGTCATGGGAAAAAAAAAAGTTAAAATAGTATATTCAAATGCCAACTGCCTGTTAAAAAGTAATGGAATGTAGAAGTCATGTGCATTTGATGTTTAAGCAGACCGAGCATAATCTACTGGTGGTTTCTTCCTTCACAACAATTTCCAACAGCTGACATATACCATTCCCTAAGAAACTATTCCATTTTATCCCAATCCCATCACTCTTTTCTACTACTTCTTGGATAGGGCGAAAATGTGTGTGGGGGGGGGGGGGATCCTTTCTTGATGCTCTATCAGACAGATCCTTTGCCAGTGTTCCTGCCTCAGTTTCAATTGGTTCCTGCTTTTTTATTATGCACCGACCCATAAAAAAAAATCTAGAGCCAGTGAGAGAGTGATTATCAAAGAATGGAAGCTTCGGGATCAGAGTGCAGGAGGGTGCATATACACTTTAATCTGCCCCCAATTTAATTAAGAGTCACTGTCAAAATTAAAAGGGACCATAACAGGTAAAAAGCACTGCACACATATACACACACATATTTACATACACAGATATATGATATATATTTGTAGGTATACAAAATTGACACTATCTGAAAACAATTTTTTGTATAAAACTGTTTTCTCATGTTACGTATAATTTTTTTGAAAGGCACAAGTACTAGATACTGATACAGGGGGTGGGGTGGAAGGACTCTAAAATTAGATCATTTGACCAAAAACAACTCTAGAATTAGATCATTTGACCACATCCTCACATACAAGGCCGTATGACGATGGTGATAAAAGGAACATTCTTCTGAAAAAGCAAAGGTAATCGAGTTAGATACCTTTCAGTTCATCAGGGGAAAAGGATCACAGGAATATGAGCTACTTATAGTACAGTTCTCGCACACAGTCTATCTCCAGAAGACTATACAAAGCAACTTTGAAAACCATAAGGGAAACAGTACCGCTACTACTCATCTCTCCAGTGACCTAAGAGTTTAAAACAACTTCACTTAAATATGTAAGTTCGACAATCTATATGTTGAATGAATAAAAAGCCCAAAACAAAGAAACAAAAAATCCAACAAGCCTAAACAGCCATACCTTTTAACACTTTCTCTGCTAGTTTCAAAGCATTCCCGGTAATAACATGGTCACATAAACAGTAACTGTTCTCTTAAAACAGCATTCTTTCAAGGAATGAATGTTTAAAACAAACAAAAATGTCACGCTGTCTTCTAAGCCAACAACCCACCTCAAAGAGATAATCAGGAACAAATGAAAAAATGTCTAAGAAAGAATGTCTACAGAAACATTTTGTCTCCTACTGAAAAACCAGAAGCAACAGAAAACTCCATTAGGAGAGTAGGCAGCTTGAAATTAAAGGGCTGTAATTAATGCCATTAAAGATATTACTGATTAAGCTAAAAAAAAGGTTAGAAAAGAGCATATAAAATAAAATTACATACATCTATGTATATAATAAATTCAGAAATATCTTTGGGACGATTATCTCTTAAGTGGCATTTTGTGAGATTTTTACATTTTCTCTGAAAAAAAAATTTACAGAAAATCACAATGAGCCTGCATCATTTTATATCAAACCTTTCAAAAAAAAAAAAGACCATACTAATTTCAGTAAAATCTGTCCAATAACTACGTACTGTCCCATAATGGTGTGGTTTAGCCTCCCTGAAAGGCAATCAGACACCATCACAATGATAAATGCACACTTTGATTCAGCAATCCCACTTATAGGTGTCTATCCTACAGCTATTCTCACCAAGTGTGCAAAGACACACTTTTGTTCAAGAATATTTACAGAAGCACTGCTTGCACTGGATGTGACCTAACTGTCCATCAACAGGGCCTAGATGAATTATGTAGATTCATACAATGAAATACTGTGCAGCCGCTACACAGAATGAGGCAGTTCTGTGTGCTGGAGTTGAACGACATCCAAGATAATTTAAGGTTTAAAAAAAAAAACAAAAAACCAGTATGTATCAACTAACAGAAGGGAAAGGGGAAGGAAGAGACATAGACAAGTGTACCTGTGTTTGCACAGACCATCTCCAGGACACACAAAACCCCGTAAATAGCGCTTATAAATAGTAGCTTGCCAGTGGGCTGGAGGTCTAGAAATCAGGGGTGGTAAGATTTTCTCATTGTGAATACGGTCAATCAATTTGCATTGTTTGAATTTTCTTTTTTTACCATACACGTAGGCTACTTTTAATAGTTTTTTTTTTTTTAATGGGGCAGCAAATTACTTTGCTGTTGTATAAATAAATATGAAGGGGGAAAAAAAGGTTTCCAAGTATCAAAATATATGATCAAAACAGCTGTTTTTAAAAGTTTCAAAAACAAAATTCTCAACTATCATTTACTGCTTTAGGCTTATTACAATCCCTGAAAATTACACCCAACAGTAAACCTGAGCTCTTCTTTTGGCCAAAGGTGTTTACACTGTTGCTAGCCAACAAATCCAAGTCTGTCTAACCTAGTCCTTGTTTTGCTCTCAGGATTGCAGCAGTTTTTAAAATCTCTTTTCTCTCTTGCTATTTTTAATACATGTTCTATGTGAAAGGTTTTTCTATTGGCCACACAATAAACAGAGAATAAGGGAACAGATTTTCTCCTTTTCAACTGGTATTAATCCTTCCAGGTCAGTGTGGCCTGGCCTTCCCCGACAGAATAACAAACAAAATGCCTAGCTAAGTCACATAAGACAATGACTCACTAAATATAGTAGTTTCTACTCCACCGGTGTTCTTAAAAACAAAAAAACACCAAAGCTAAGAAAAATACATTACATTGAAGTATATTCTCAAGTGGATTCAATGCAAGCCTAAGGGCTCAGATCAACTGCCACTAACATCCCCTGTAACTCTGGGGAACCCAGGAATTGGAAGGGACTCCAAATCAGAGACAGAGAATGCCCCTTAACATCGTGACTGAGGTCCCTGTATCACACTTGTTCAACATATTCTCAAATACCGGAGACACAACCAACAAGGGTATGCTGGAAGGGACGCCTCATCAAAACAGGTCTGTCAGTGTTGGCTGACTCAGCAGCCACTGGTTAAAGTTAGGTACCAGACTTCCTGAAAATAATGATAAACACTTAGAAAGCAGAAATGAAGAAGGTGAACTCACCTTTAACGCTTTTTCTATTAACATCTGCCCCCTTTTCAAGTAAATACTGAGCAATCTCTTTGTGTCCTTTGTAACACGAAATCATCAAGCACGTATGCCCATGTCGGTTGGAAACTTCCAAGTCAGCTTTGTGTTCCACAAGGTACTTCACTATTTCCAAATGGCCATCGAAACAGGCAGCTCGAAGAGGAGTGGAATTGGTTAAAGTTGTGTTGTTGACAGACGCTCCATGATTTAACAAAGACTGCACCACCTTCAGATGTCCCGCGGCAGAGGCCGCCCACAGCGGGGGAGCCCCCTCGATGGTTTCGCCGTCAAAATTGACCGAGCCCCCCACTTCTATGGAGGCACTGCACTGCTCTAGGAGGAACTCCACCATGTCAAGGTGCCCATACCTGGCGGCCATCAGGAGTGGCGTGGCTCCATTTGTTTTTTCAGAGATCAAGGAGGAAACCTCCTCTTTGGATTTGCTTGCCAACAACTTGGTGAGAAGCCGGAGTTTGCCATCCCGAGCTGCGTTAAAGACTGCTGTCTTTAGATCCATTTATGTCCAGTTGAGAGGTTGCGCTTTTCTTTATCCTTCAAAGCAAAACTCCCCAGCTTAACTCTATCGACACAGGCAAGAGTTACAGGAACCAAAGTTCAATGTTAATCGCTGCACCCCAAACGGATATAAAACCACGGGGAGTCTGTTGTCTTGCTGCCTTCCAACATCTGACAACCAGAGCACCGAACTAAAAAAGGAAAAGGCAAAGTAGCAGTTTTGAATTTCCCAGAGGTAAAGGCAAAAACACTATCTAGGTTTTCTTAATTTCTACTCCTAGGCGGCGGGGGTTGGCGGGGGGCGGCATACTTTAGGGACTACTCAAGCCACCCAAACACGGTGGGAAAGAATACAAAAAGGTGCACACCGACCCAAACGTTTTGGTGGCAGGCCGTTTCTTTTCTATACACGGTAAACTGAAACACTACAGGCAACTGGTTTTCTCGCCTCCCTAACCAGCCTAGCTTTGTTCTAGTTTTTGCTTTGCACACGCCCAGGGAGAGTACAACCGAAAGAGGCAAGAGACACGGGTTCAGAAATGTTTCTCTCTCTCCCATCTGCAGAGAGCGAGCCAAGGGCGCGAAGGCCTCGCGGTGGCCAGAATGGGTTTCGAGAAGGAACAAAAAGGTCGGACACAACAAACCGCGGCCAGCTAACGCCAAAGCCCTCGCCCTAAAGCTTCTCTTTCCTTTAAAACTACTTGAGGCTCTCAGGAAATCCGGCCGCCTTGTAGCGAACTTTGCCCGCCCCATTTTGATGCCCCCCCGCCCCCTCCCCGCCAGGGATCGCAGGTTCCTCCGACCACCGTCGCCCCCTCCATAACCTTCACCGCCACCTTCTCCAGACCCGAGCGGTCCCTCCCCGAGCGACCACGACCCCCGCCCGGGCGGCCGCCGAGCCTGGGGCCTCCAGCCCTGCGGCCGCCTTCCGCTGCCGGGGGCTCCCTCCTTCCCCTTCCCGCCAGGGCCTCCCCGCGGGCGCCTCAGGCCGCAGCCCGGGCTCTGGCGGGCCCCCCGCCGCCGCCACTACCTGCCCGGGGGCTGGTCCTCTCCGCCGCCGCTGGCCGCTCGGGCTCGGGCCGCCCCCCTTAAATGGAAACCGTTGTCCGCGCCGCCGCCCGGGCCGGCCTGCTCCGCCTGCAACCGCACAGCTCCTCCATGCCCCGCGCCCCACAGGAATGAATCCGGCCGCGCCGTTCGCCCCGCCCCGCCCCGCCACGCCGAGCCGCCTCCCGCCCTCCCTGTGTGCGCGGGCTACAGCAGCTGCAGCGGATGCCGCGGCGGATGGTGTAATGGGCTGCGGGCCGGGGGCCGTACAAGCCTGAGCGAGGTTTCACATCACTGACGCGGCAGCCGCGCCATTGGGCCGGGGGAGGGCGGCGGTCGCAGCGAGCAACCGCGTAGGGGCGGGGCGGGGCGGGGCGGGGCGGGGCGGGGCGGGGCCGCAGGGGGCGGGGCCGCGAGCCCGGCGGAGGACGCACCAGCGTGGGGCACGCCGCGGGGCGGGGCGTCACGAGGGGGCGGGGCCACGCCGCAACGCGGCGACCCGGGTCCGTGGCGGTGGCGGTGGCGGTGCGAGCATCTCGCTGGCATCTCCGCTCCCGCTTCCCCGCGCCTGTTTCGGGAGGCTGGTTTGCGGGACCTTCGGGTCCCACGGCCAGAACTTCCAGAAGGGTGGTGGCTGTTATTACTCCCTCGCACCCATACATACTCTCGGACTACCCTCCTCTCTCCTTTTGGTGGAAATACACCGAGCGCTTAGATCTCGGAAAAACAAAACGAGAAAAACACTAGAAACAAATTTGAGAAAAAAGATTCGTTTGGGAGGGTGCCAATCATGACTTGTTCTTTTTTTTAAATAAGGACTCTAAAAAGTAAAAATTTACGAAAAGTGGTAAAATTTCAGAGCAGCGTAAGTCAACAAGTTCGAGCTCCTGAACTCTTCCAACATTATAAAACCAGGAAATGAAAGAAAGCTAAAACGTTAATATGAATAAAGAGTATATCATAGAGCAGGAAGAAAACTTACCAAATTTATGACGTTAAGACACGGGATGTATTAAACCAGCTTGAAGAAGAGTGTAAGCATGTTTGGGGAATGACGCCCGTAGTGAATCGTGTTGAGAAAATAGTGTTTGAAAAACTGATCATCCGTCTCTTGAAAGCTTTATTTTGGGGAACTTAAACTTGCACCCAATTCCTTGGGTACCACTGGGGAAAAGAGAATATTAGATTAGACAGATTATCTGACTCCAGCCTCACAAAGGTAATCGTTATTTTAAAAGACATTTCACACACAGATCACAACTTCATTTTTGCTTATTGACTCACAGTGTTGTCGAGAAATTTATGTAGTTTTGTAGTTGATGTAGTTTTGCATAATTGAAGTCCTAATTTTCATACAACTACATATTTTGCTTTTTTCCCTTACCATACTCTATAAAGATTTCTCATGTTTTTACAGTCTTAATCATTTTTTATTTAGGTAGTCAGTATACAGGCTCCACATTGGTACCCCAAAATTGAAGTTCGGGTTACTAGCATTAAGAAGAAAATGTAGAAGAACAGAATATAAAAGATCAGGGCAGCCTTCTTTAACAATCTACCAACCCAGAAGACTGGCTGTTTTATCCTTAGTGTGCAGGTCACAGTTCTATACTCCCAAGGTACAAAATTACAAAATCCCAGTTACAAAATCCCAACCAAGACCTAGCCTGAGCTGACCTGTCTCTCTTACCAAATTCAATAAGATGATGTAAGTGGCCTGCAAACTGAGATGTGCACCCCCCCAGGGGATTTTCAAGGGGTAGGTGCACACTTAAGATCATTTTAAGACCACTTGTTTATGAATCTTCAACTTGCATCTATATTATTTCCAGAAACTGATTTGCTGTTTTAGAGAATGCAGTCAAGGTGTCTCCCTGTTTCCTTTCCCAACTGTATCACCATAGCCTTATAGTTTCCAAATTGCAAAAAAAGGGGGGTGGCATAACTCTCATTCACTGAGAATCTTAAAATGGTGCATTATTCCAGGGTGTAAAAACTTCAGGGAACCTTTGTCAGTTTTTTATCAACTTAAAATACCGGACTGTGTTGAGAAAGTATATACTTCTAATGGCTGTGTAACAAGTTCTTCTGTAAGTCATATGATTTCCAAATAATTGTTTTCAATAGAGGATGACCTTAAGATCACTAAATGAGTGTATAAATTAGAAGGAGTTCAAAGAATTGAAAAGTTCAGAACACCTTACAACCCCACCTACTTAGTAATGGTAAAAACATTCTTAAAATTTACAAAAATGAAAAACAGAAAACATTGATGCTAAACTATATCTTTCTTGTAAGAAGTAGTATTCAACAACAAATACATGCAGTAATTGTAAAAAAAAATTACTTATGTCTAATAATTTAAAAACTTTGTAATATATTTTATATTATTTTGAGTACTTGATTATTACTAATAAATATATCTCAATCTAGAAGAAAATGTTTCAGCACTTAGCCACAGGAAAATTAAAAATTGAAATTTAAATGTATATATCTTTTCATTGCAGAGAAGTTAGTAGGGTGATAGAAAAAATACATTCAAACACAGAAATACATGAAATTAGATATAATCCTGAGGGGTGAAAATATGGAATGGAGTTATCTTAAAGAGAAAAGAGAAAAGAGAAAAATATTGTAAAGAGAAAAATAAACTAGGCAGACTATACTGTAGGTAAAGAAGAGGCTTTTCATATATTTTTAAAATGGTGAATAGTAGGCATAATCGCTCTGGTGTTTACATTTTATTGGATTCATTTAAGAGAGTGACTATTCCATTTTAAAATGTCAATGTTTATAGTGTGCAGGAAATTGCCTCCTTTGCAACTACTTAAACTTATGATGAAAAATTTTAAATGTTAACCTAAAAATATGCAAGAGGGTAAACAGTATTTCATGTAGTAAGCAGAAATGTTTGAGGACCACTAATTTTACTCATCAAGCCCGTATTGGAGGTTGTCTCCATTTCTAAAGATTTTGGCAATATTTGTTCTTCTAATTTTTTTTTTTTTAGTTTTTACTTTTCTTAAAGAACCTCAACTAAAATTCCTTTTGTTTTTTTGTTAAATGGTTTTACATTCTTTTTCGAAACACCTGCCTTCTCCCAACCCTCTCTGAATGGGAAGTAAAAGGTTTTTGTTCGGTTGGGTTGGTTGGATAGGGATTGGTTTGGTTGCTAAGGCTTTGGATTCTTGTTTAATCAGCAATTATTGTCTTCCTAAAAGCCTCAGAATGCTCTGGGGGCTATATACCAAGAAGAACCATGGACTCAAGTTCTAAGGAGCCTCCAGATGGTACAGGTGGGAACTAGCAGACTGGAAAAATGGGGAGGGACCCAGAGGGATGGCACATAAAATGAGGCACCACAGCCAGGAGCCAAGGTGAATCCTTGGTCTGCTCTGAGGGGAGTGGGGTGTCACCTGCATCCACAGCTCTGATTCATCGGGCTTGCGGGAGACCCAATGCTTTACAGGTGTCTGTTGAGGGTACCTCCCTGGGAGGCCCCCAGGACACTGGGAGCCCCGAGGCAACATCATCCCATGCCTGAAAGGGTGATGGAGACCAACTGGACTAGCAGAGAGAGGGCACCCTTATTACCAGAACAACATACATTTTCAAGCGTATAAGTTTTCTTCTTCTCATGTATTGCTTTGGGATAAATTTCCAGGAGTTGGATTATGGAACTTCTTTCTGGCTTCTCATACATACTGTCATTCTGCTTTCCCAAAGAGTTAGGCCAGTCTGCAATACGAGCAGCAAAGGAGTGTGCTGAATTCACCAAACCGTGCACCCACTGAAGGTTACATTTTAAAAATTCTTCTAGAATGTGTAAAATGATGCATCAAATTTCCCCAAATTTGCCTGGCCGCCCTTGTGATTTGGGGGTCCATATAATCTGTAATTAGTAAGGTATTCTTTCTACAGTTTCCCTTCTGGGAATTTTTTTTTTCCTTAAGTTTATTTATTTTTTAATAATCTCTACACCCAACGTGGGCCTTGAACTCATGACCCCCAGATCAAGAGTCACACACTCCACTGACTGAGCCAGGCAGGTGTCCCTCTTCTGGGGATTTTCAAATGTTTACTTCTTGCTGGCCTCTGCTTAAACCAGAAACCTCAGTGAAACAGTCCGCTTGCACGGTTTTGGTGATCTTCATCAATTTGGTCTGATTTGGGTGACTGAAAAAATACTTTTTGTTTTCAGTAACTGACTGGGCAGCAGTTTAATCCAGAAAAGCATGAAAGGAGCCTGCTTTCATGAATACAAAAGTAACACAGAAATAGCACGTAGCCTCCCCCACGCCATTCAGAAACGCCTTTATCGTATGAGAAACCTATTTTATCAACACCGATTGATCATTTGTTTAACCAAGGTGTGAAGGATTTTAATTGTTATCAATCCATTCATCGTGTGCATAGCATCACCTGTGCATCGTGAGTCCTATTGTGTACTCTGTTAGATGCTAAGTGAATACATGGATCCTTGCTTTCAAAGAATTCATGTTCTGTGGGAGAAACGTAGCTATAAACAGATCAGAGCGAAATATGTATATAAACAACCCCGAGGGCCCAAAGGATGGAGCTGCCAAGGCTCCTTGGGCAAGGCTGGGAAGGAGGTGTGGATCCTAAAGAATGAGTGGGAGTAGGCCCAGCCAAAAAGCAGTGGGAGAAGGGAGGGAGCCCAATGGAGAAAGCAGGGAGATGACCGGACACAGGTAAACGGCCCCTCCCTTCTTCCCCACTCGCCCCCACCCCCAGACACAGGGTGGTACCCTAGGCAACCTTCTGAATGTGCAAAATCCCAGCTCCCCTCCCTCAAAATGCATCACAACTCAGCATTTCCTAGTTGTACGACTCCACCAGAATTCACATTCTCTAGGCCGACTGCCCTCTTGGAAGTTTCAGGAGGAGCTCGGCCGGGTGCAAGTAATCTACTTAAAGCAAGAATACATCCAGGGCGTACTCACCTTTTACAAAGGAAACTCGTGAGCCCCGATGAATCTTACCATCATAGAAGTAAGGCAGAGCAGAATTCTTGTAGCTGGGACCTTTCCGGATTCCCCCTGTATATTTTGGCCTAGCCTCTCTTTCCTTCCCTGAACTATGCAAAAGGAGGAGGCAGCAACTCGATCACCAAATTCTGATCATCTCTTGGCACCGTCTCCCTCACTGGCATGCTGCCATCATTTTACTCATCACATTATCACCAGCTAGAAATCCTGCATCATTGTAAAAGTATCTGCTTCTTTCCTCTGTTAGCCCATTTCCTGAAGTTGTCAGGACCCTGGCCCCAGCTCTCTAGGAGCAATAGATGAGAAAGATCCTGAGGATTCTCAAGAACTGGCTTCCACTCCTTGAGAGTCTCCCCTGA